CACACACACACACACACACACACATACACACATACACAGTACTGTTGCATCATTAATTAATGCGCAATGTGTAAATCGGAAAAGGACATTTTGCGCCAAGTATGTACCAATTATTTTTTGCACTATGATAGGATAAACTCTTATTGGTAATGAAAATAAAACATTTTCCTAAGATTACTTTTATTCTAATTAGCACGTTCATTTTAATTAAGAACATTTGTATAAATGTAATGAAATGTTATATTCGAGTGTTGCATAAAAATATTTTATAGAATGATGATATTCCAATAAAAAGTAATTATGAAATGATACAAATATTAGATGTACTTAATGGAAGTAATGCAATTAATGTTGGACGACCATATCTTCACCGTTTGCCAAAAAATACCAATTGGAGTTATGCTGCTTTAAACCTTTTTAAGGGTTTGTTGGAAATTTAATTTTAAAATTACATTTCAAATTTTCATATTGTTCAAAACTTTTACATGGTTAATATTTTTGAATCCTTTAAAGTTTACTGTAAATGGAATGTTTGATAGCTTGACGGAATGATTTCATCTGATTATTGGAGTAAAATTATCTGATCAGAAAAAAAATATTAAACTTAACACATATCTTTTTTATTTCTTGAAGTTCTCATATTTATTATATTATTCATACATATATGATAATTTTTAGATTCATCCAGAAATCGACCCGATACACTGCTGAAAATTGCTAAGGGAAGCTCATTGGTTATATTATCGAGAAATTTTGTAAATTTTATGATGAAAGATTTAAATTTGACAGCTCTCATTGAGATATTTGATTCGAAACCATACGGCACTGATGAAATGCTCTTTCACAGTTTACATTCCGATGATTCTTTAGGTAATCAAATTCATGATAATAAGAGAAAGTAAAAGATTGGATGCCTAAAATCGACAAAATTCATTCATGAAATCGTTTTGTTTCAACAAGAGATATGTTTCTGATATGATATGATATTTCTAGAAAAATTTATCACTATCATTATTTAATAAGTTATTGCAGCTGTTCCTGGCGGCTTCACAAGAAAATGCATTGATCAACAAAGCGATTTTATCACCAGGTTTGTTTAATAGCAATTAGATTCTAATCAAATTATATTTTATCAAATTGCTCGGAAATATCAAATTTTTATTAAATTACTAGGAAATGAGAGTAGCTGCATCGATAAAATAGCCAAGTAATTTAATACTCATAGATAGCGTTACCAATTAATACTTTAATAATTTCTTACACTCTTTTTGTAATGCACAAAAATTAGGTAAATATTGATTTATCAGAAATTTAATCAATTAAATTGTTATTTATAAATATTATTTCTTCGGAATTTTTTTTTTTTTCGAAATGTTACTCTCTAATTGTAAGCGTTATTTCTTCGAATAAATTTTAACTGCTAATCAATAGTCAAAAATATTTATTTTTTTAATAGATATGTTGTATGGGCCTGGTCAGGTCGACCATGTAGAAGTGGCAAATATCGACATAATGTCTGTATATTTGGTGTTGCTGATTTGATCTTATTGAAAGAGCTTCAACAATTATTTGCTAATAAAATGCTATCAGAAAGTGATTATGGTGCGATCGCTTGTTGGGCAATGTATTTGGCTGAACGAATTGCAAGCAATTCAACTATTAATTTTGAAGATTATAAGCAAATTCAAATTGTACGATTTAATAATAACAAAGAGACATGGCGAAAAAATATGTCATTGTTTCAATGTTAAATATAAAATTAATCGTTTTTGTATTATTTTGAAAATGAATTTGAGAATTTATGATTTTTAATAATGAAGTGCTAAAGATCGTAAATTATAAATCATGAAAATATTTAATTAATTACTAGGATCTTTTAAAATATATGAGAAGAAAAGAAGATATCCTTGCCGGCTATCAACATGCCAGTAATAAAATTGATAAATTGATAATGATAATTTTCTGCAAAACATAAACTTTTAAATTATAATCAGTTATCATTTATCTTATTTTCTATGATCATTATCATACAAACCGTATTTTTGCTATAGGTAAGAGGGATGATAAAAAAGTGTAACCAAGAGGGTAAAGTTCCTTACAATTTCGCATTTTTATTATATCATATGCAGATATCACTCACATCATTCATTATATCACTAATATCACTCACTGGCCGTAGGTCCATTCATATGAATTTAATAGCAATAAAGATCTAAAATTGAAGTACTGACTGGAAAGTTTTCAGTAATATTCAAAACGATAAAACTAAAAAAGAAAAAAAAAATTGAACAATGATAGCATTCCACCTAAAATAAAATCAAATTATCATGTATTATCATTTCAAAAAAAGAAACAGATCTTATGTTATGTTCTGGTACACCAGAATCTTTAAAATTTTAACCTGAATCTCTTATCATTTACCATTTCCAACAATGGAGCTCTAATATCACAAGTGCTTCATGCCCAAATACAAACCTATAATGTGTTCAACATCATCATTTTCAGCGATTTGCATGTAAAAACAAATGCTTGAACAATCATTAATTCTTCACTCATTTGTTAACAATTCGTTCCTACGTGGTGATTCAAAGTTCAGGACAATCAGGATCTGACCTAACCTACACTTACTCCTCTTCCTTCTACGCTCTCCTGTGCACTGCGATTTTCGTACTTGTCATTGAAATTCTGCTGATATTTTCTTGATAAACGTGTGATATGCTACCCATTAACTATTTTTAGAGCGGTGGATCCGTTTTCCGTTGGATCTGTTCCATTTTTATTCATTTATTCGATTTTCTTCCATCACTATACTGTTTGGATCAAATTTGCTATTTTGAACATGAAAATACAACATATAAACAACCGAACAACTGAGAAATGGAGAATGAAGGTGATTTAATGCAATCAAACAATTTTTGGTTGAATGACAGTTCATCACTTACTAAGCTTGACCTGAAGTCTCAAAATTGTACAATTATATTCAGGGTGTTGAAGTTATATTCCGCAAAACCATTATAAATGAATGACGCAAAGGTGTCATGTGGAAAAGTGAAGCGAAGGTGAATAAAGTTTCATGAGATCAGAAAATTAGAGATGTATACAGAGGTGCACAAAACTTATGGGAACTGGAACAAGTTATCACTGCCGATTTTTTTCACTTATTCAGTTTTAAAGTGTCCACTTGGACAGGACATACAAAAAATGAGTAACTTTCTTATCCCGTCTTTTCAAAAATTAAAAATAAAGTAAAAGAAATAAAATGAATTTGAAATTGTACAAGTGTTCATTTTCAGCAACAATCAAATGACATGAAAGCGAACGGAAACTGTGTGAAATAATTCAAAATCGAAGACTGTCAAATGATGATTGTTTCTTTCACACTTAGCTTTCATGATCCATAACATCTAGCAACATTTTCTTCGTTTCGGGTTCATCTGAGGCGATTGTATTAACTGTGGAAGATGCAGGAATTCTATCTTTCTGCGAAACATTTTTTAGAATCTCTAGCATAGCTGGATCATTATTTTGCACGCGTCCTGCCTTTCGTTTTTTGGCTTCTTCATTCCTTTGCTGTTTATTAGATTTCCATATCTCTACTGCTTCCTTTACCTGTAAATTAAACCGTCATCCGTAACACAGAGTTCTTTTTTTCAATGGAATGCAGATGGATAGTAGAATCTGATGACAAAAGTCTCACACATTTCTGGTGGAAAACTGAATGGGTAGGTAAGAGCAAAATGAGAGCTGAATGATCCATTTCATTTCATTTATTTTTTCATTTTTAATAACTCGATGCATAAAGTCTGTTCCTGGTAACCAGAACTCTAACAAATCAAAACTTTCAAAAGTACCGGTTTCTCTAGCTCTTCGCATTCCAAAACTCGCACAGCATTTAGGACGTCCACCGCAGTAACTGTCTTGCGTTTATTAGATACTGCACATTCTTGAGCATACGTCGCAGCATGTAAAATGAAGACTGCTGCAGCACGTGCTATCGCTGTTCGCGCATCCTGAAAAGTCAACTACTTTGTAAACCTCTCTTTCAATATTAACCAAAGAGAAGTTCTCAAAAAAGGCATGAAAAACTTCATTCATCCTATAGAGTGAATAGAGAGGCGAACCTTAGAAATGATAACACCAGGTGGTAATGCTTCCTTCACCAAACGACCAATCACAGTTTGCGGTAGCCGCAAATCCTCAGCAACATCGCCGTCCGTCATTTGCGTTAAAGGCCCTAAAAAAAAACAATCAGAATGCTTTTTGGTGTGACACAAATCATACCACAT